CACATTATAACATTGGAGATCTCTAAGCCGATCGAATAAGGAACCGAAAAAATCAAACGAAACCAATATGCCTAACCTTAAAAATGGACATATTCTTGAGACTCCTCAAAATCCGTCAATAGTTTACTGAGGGTTATAAAATGAGTCAATTCCCTAAAATAACAAACACGGCGAAGTTTTTCCTTTTATTAAAAACCATTAATAAAATCTTCTCGGCATGTTTTTTACAAATCATATTAGTAAAACATAAATTGAATCATTATAAGTATTTTTCCCCTGATTAACTTTGAAATAAAACATGTGCAGTTCAATGTTAAAAAATAAAACATTTGTCGAATAAAAAATAAAACGGGTTCAAATAAAGTTTAGTTATTTGCGGAGACCCCATGGATTAGAGTTTTGTACTCCCTCTGTCCCTAAAAGAAGTTCCATTTCGCTTATCGAGGTTCAACTTAAATCACTCTTAAACTCTTACTTTTTATATCAAAATTTTATAAAAGTTGAATTATTTTTTGTAGGCTTTGTAGCGGGTTTAATGTAGTTTCTGAATATGTAAATTTTATTTACTAAAAATAATCCGAGTTTTCACAGGAATCATTTAATTTTATCGTCGATCAACCTTCGTAATCCGCAATTATAACAACATGTAGGGAGGGAGGGAGTATTTTGTATTTTTTGTGTAAAAACTCCAACATTTAGAAGTATGGATGAACGGTTGGTGCGGGTTTCAGTTCACTCCCTAGGAAAATGCTATGTGTACACAACATTGTACACACCACCCTACACATCATAAAAAGACCCACCCCCTCTTTCTAACCCACCCCACTTTTGAATTAATCCACCCCACTCCCTTTCTCCTCTCCCCTTTATTCCCAAACGAAAATGCCTGTGCAGATAACAAATTGTCTGTCCAATTTTTTTCATTTGTTTGTCATCCCTTATATCTCTCAACGAGCGGCAGGAAGCGAGTAAGACGTATGGCGGCGGCGGCGACGACGAACTTGGCCTGGGCTGGAATCAAGGGAGGATATATTCGGGCCGAGTCCCGGGGACACGCCATCTGCGATGGAAGCTTTCTCCCTGCCCTTTTTATGCGGTAAGCTCTCCTTCTCCCTTTCTTTATTTTCTTTTCATTCTTCTGCAACAGCTCCTCTCTTTTTCCCTCTTTTTTTTTCATTCTTCTCCAACTCCACATCCATTCAATTTTTATTCAACTATACTTTTTCATTTTTATGCCTCTAAGATGTTTGTTGAAACGCTCAAATGAACTCTTTTATTTATAACCATGATTTTTTTGTATTCTTTCTCTTTTTCTAAAAATATATTTGTATGCTTGATGGGTTTGTGCCTATAAGGTGTTTATTGAAATGTTTCAATGAAATATTTCATTCATATGCATGAATTTTTTGTGTTTTTCTCTTTTTTCTGTTAATGTGTTTGTGTTTGATCTTGGTTTAACTGTTTTTGACTATTTAATTGAATATTATGATTCTTTGTTTGTTATTAAGATACTAGTCTACTAAGTGTTGTTAATATTTTCTAGAGATGTCTGTGTAGTGTGTTCTTATATGTTTGTCCATTTTTTAGTTGTCTATATAGTTTTCCTGAAATGTCTGTGTAGTTTGTTGTTATACGTCTGTGGATTTTCTAGTTGTTTTTATGGTTTTCCGGAGATGTTTGTATAGTGTGTTGTTATATGTTTGTGCATTTATTAGTTGTCTATATAGTTTTCCTGAAATGTCTGTGTAGTTTTCCAGAGATGCTATGGTCCACACATAAAGCTGCCAATGGTGTATTACTCTTGTTGATGCGTTCTTGAGATTATTTATAGAGATTACTTGTTATATTCTTCTCATCCACTTCAGAAAGTACATGAATTTATTTACAGGGACTGTTATTGGCGGAAGGACCCTAAAGTTGGGATTATTCTAAAATAATCGATAGTTGGGATTATTATAAGCGGACCGCCAATAGTTGAGATTATTACAATCAATTTTTCCTTAAATTTTTAACATGTCCCGGCCCACTTCAAATAAAAAAAAAACTTGTCAATAATTCAATGACTATTAGCCCTAAATAAGGCTAAAAGTAACCCTAAATGCAACAATAGGACTACAATCCTTTTATTCTCAAAATAGGAGTATAAATATCCCATCTTTCTATTCTACCATCTTCCTCTCGTCTTCCTATTAGAACTAGATATATTTATTTAATAAGAAAATCATGGTCCTATTTATAATGAAAATATAAAAATAATAACAAATATTTTTACTTTAATAATATAAACAAGAAACAATATAATCAAATCAAATCAAATTTTAAAAAAAGTATTAAGAAACTAAAAGAGGCTTAAAAAATAATATACCTAAGAAATATTAAAAGAATATGTAGGCCACTGCCACCGCATTCTCCAACTCTTAGCACCACCAGCTTCGATCGTCGGGAAAACAATGTCACCTTGTGTAAAAAATGCTACATTCCTATGAAAATGCCATGAAGATGACATTTTTACTCTTTGAAAATATGCAACTTTCTTTTCAAAATTGTCATCACGGTGACATTTTTTTCAACTTGACATTCTTTTCCGACGACCGGAGGTGGCACTGCTGGAAGGTGGCTAAAGTGGTAGTTAAGGTTGGTATATTTTATTTATTTATTATGTTTTTTTTTGTTTTTTTGTTTTGTTTAATTAAGACCCCATTAAGAATGACAAGGGAAAGGGTATAAGAGGAAACTTAGTCCTATTTTGAGAATTTAAACTTTAGCTCCTATTGTTACAATTTTACTTTTTATTTAGTCGTATTTAAAGAAATCTCCAATAATTCAAATGCAAGCATCTCAAAAATATGATTATGTAAGAAGATGAACGATGATGATCATACCTAAATAATGAGATCGATTTTTGTTATACTCGCTTAATATAATGGATTTACACATTAATCTCCAATATCTTAGATCTACTAATCTACTATCGGCCAGATTGAGAATACCAAATTTTCTTTTGAAATCGTCTTTTCCCTCAACGACTTACTTAAAGAATATGTCACATTATTTAATTGTTCCACATAGGAACTTATGAATGAGAATGTGCTTTTAAAAAATACAAAAGAAATGTTTTTCCCTTTTTCCTAGCCTGAAACCATCAGCACTCGGAAATTAAAACCTTCACATGCAAAAACGTAACGACGTGAAGACATTCACAATTGCCCCACTGATCCGCCGATTAGCGGATGTAATTAAAATGAATGAACAATCAAAATCATATTGATGAGACGGAATTAAAAGGAGCCAGCAAGATAATGGTCCACTATGAAGCACCAGATTCACGCCAAAGCTCATTTTAAGGAAGAAATTAAATCAGCAAACTTTCTCGTGCAGCCAACTAGCTCAAGGTATTTGGCAATTTTTCAAGAAACGTCAAATAGTTGATGGAATTATTTGTTATCAACGTGTATTTGATGGAATTAATAATTAATTATTGCAATTTTGAAATTATTAGAAATAAGTAATGACTACTGTATTTTCAAAGCAAGAGTTATAGATAAAAGTGTGACACAAAGATATAGGACATGTTTGACACAACTAGTTTGAAAAGATATTTTCATCAACCTTTTAGTAACCGTTAGCTTCTAGTGACTGAAAAGATCTTAAAAGAAAATAATGGTAGTTGTTTGATAAAAAGCTGATTGTTTGATTTAGTACTTGATGGAGTATATGATCCAGGACCCCCTGGCCCACATACTCATGTAATCTAGACATTCAGTGGAAGCCCTCGGCATCACCTTGGCGGTACCCCTCGGCCATGATGCCCTTCGGCACCCCTCGACCATGATGTCCTCAGCACCTCGACCACGATGCCCTCGGCACCCCTCGACTATGATGTTCTCGGTACCCCTCGGCTATGATGCCCTCAGTAGTACCCCTCGGCACCCCTCGGCTATGATGTCCTCGGTACCCCTCGGCTATGTCATGCCCCCGCCCATACATGAAGCCTTCGGCCATACATGAAGTCATCGGCCATACATGAAGCCTTCGGCCATACATGAAGCCTTCGGCCATACATGAAGCCCTCGGCCATACATGAAGCCTTCGGCCATATGATCCAGGTCGAAGGGTCTACACTCTACGAAGCTTCCTCTGAAGACAAGCAACCACCGCATTCAATGCGGCGTCACATCCACCCACCGCATTTAATGCGGTGCACATGCGAGTGCCGATGCCACCCCGATTGAGGTGACCCCTCGGCCGTCAGATTGTTTACATGTGTACTCTCATCGCATTTATAGTGCTATAAATAGCAGCCCTTATTCCTCTTATAAAGGATCCCGGATCAGATTTCATTAATATATGTGACTCTCTCTCTCTCTTACTTGTTTGCTCTGACTTCTCTCTAAGTTATTCCCCGAATAACCCCTCGGGTAAGCTAGCCCCCAGGTACGCAATCCATCAGTACTGTTGAGACTAATTAATGCTAAAATTTACAAACTTGTTTCAGATGCTACCATTGTAGCATCTCAAAAAAGATTTTTAATTTTTACAAAAGCTCTTATAAATTGTCATACCAAACATACAACTAGAAGCTTTTAAGGATTATTTAAATAGCACAAAGGGTATGTTTGGCACAACTAGTTAAAATATATTTTTATGAGCTTTTGAATAATTGTCAGCTTTTAGTGACTGAAAAGATATTAAAAGGAAAAAGTCATAGTATTTTGATAAAAAAATTGACTGTTTGATTTAGTTGTATTTGGTATAACAAGCTGTTGTGACTAATTAGTGATAAAAGCTACAGACTTTCTCCCAGATGCTACCCACTGTAGCATCTCAAAAAGTTCTTTTATTTTGTAAGAAACTCTTAAAATTGTCCTACCAAACACACAATTAGAAAACATATGTTTGGAGACTTTTTAAATAGTACAAAAGTTAGAAGTTATGGACTTTTGCCTACCAAACATGCACAAAAGGTGGAAGGTAGGAGTTTATGCCTACCAAGAGGTTTATGCACAAAATCATGTTTGACGGAGAACGAAGAGGTTTTCTTCCCCAACCAAAGTGGTTGGTTAAGGGATTTCGTGAAGCAGTCTGAGCAGTGGTCTCCACAATGTTCATTTTGATGGACATGGGAGCGCAGAAGGGGCATAAGCTCGATTGGATTTTAGCTAATGAGCGGTGGCTTGATCTGTTTGATGACAATAGTGTTATTTCTCATGCTATTTTTGAAAATCAAATTTTCGGAACAACAAGGATGGTGGAAAGTTTTCAAGTTCGATAATGTGTAGGCCCAAGAAGAGGAGATCGGCCGAATTCAATCCCAGAAAAAGAAAAACTGCCTCATGGAGAAAATCTGAGGAAGATGGCAAGGTAGTAAATATTATCTCCCTGATTGCATATTCATACATTTTCTTGAATATTTCATTGATCACTCTCTTATACAATCTTTTTCGTTCATACATGATCAAGTATACATAGCATTATATGTTATTTAGTATCACATATGTATGGAGTGTTATTTTTGTTTTAATATTTATTCAATGTGGTAAGTTATTCTTCAACATTACAGGGAATTGAAATTTGAAGGGGTTGTTTTTTCAGATGCAAAACAATCTAAACTAACAGAGGTGTCCAGGGGTGGCTACAATGATCATAATACTGTTCAAGCAGTGGTTGAACCAAATCAGAAGCTTTCGAATCCACCAAAACACTATATTCATGTCAGAGCGAGAGGGGGGCAAGCTACTGATGGTCATAGTCTTGCAGAAAGAGTAAGTTTCTGGAAAAATAACACCAACTTATGTACATCACTTTTACTTATAATAACATATTATTAAAAATCATTCCTCATGACCTGACCTTATGAGTATTGATTCGCTAGGTAGTTAATAAATTATGGAAAACAAGAGTTTCAGCTAATTCAATTCCACCGTCTAAAAAGATAAGTTTAAAATCATTTTTTCTCTTCTTTAGATTCTTTCAGGTAATGTTACTTTCAGGTAAGTTTACTTGAGAAATATTCTTGGATTTTCAGGTGGCTGTTGCTTTACAAAAGGCTGCCCTTTCGGATGAGTATTTTGTTAAGAGAAAGCTGTATCCAAATGTGGACTTCTATTCTGGGTTAATATATAGGTTCATTTGAATGCTTCTTGAAATACTTGATTCTACATAATAATACAATATTATAGAATCACCCCCGGTAACTAACTCATCGCTGTTATGCATCAGGGCTATGGGATTCCCTCCAGAGTTCTTCACTGTTCCTTTTGCAATTCCATGAATGGCAGAGTATTTATCTCACTGGCATGATTCCTTGGATGATCCCGATACAAAGATAATGTGACTTGCCCAGGTTAGTGTCTGATATACATTGTTTTAAACGAGTACAATTACTACCCTTCATTTACCGATAAAAAATAGCCTTTCTATTTGCCGCACAACCCTCTCCATCAGAACGTCATCTGCCTCCATCTCTTCTTCTTCTCGATCATCTCGTCATCTGCTCGTCTGCCTCCATCTCTTCTTCTTCGGCAATCTCTTGTGCTTCAACCTCTCACTCCTTTTCGGCCTTTGTTATTCCAGGTTCATCATTTGTTATTCCAGGTTAGTTCCCTCAGAACCAAATTTTGTTTTCGGCCTTTGGTAAACACTTCAATACACTCCAAATTGAGGTGTTAAAAAAGTGGACAAATGAGGTGTTGAGGGGGTAATTACTAACACCTCTTAACACTTACTAACACCCGTTAACACTTCTTAATTTTATTCCCAAACAAGTGTTAATATAGACACTTCTCAACACTTCCATTACTAACACCCTTAACACTCCATCCAAACACAACGTTAGGGTTTGGGAGAATTTGTACCAAATTAAAACAATTTGTTTTTCGGTTTGGTTTTGATTCAGTTTCGATTCAGTTCGATTTGGAGTTTGGTTTACCAAAGTGTAAAAAATGAGTCGGTGGTACAAATTTTGTACAAAGATTTTAGCATATAAAATCTTCAGATAAAACTAAAGGAATCGGTGGTACAAATGTTGTAATATTCACAAATTTATTCAAATGAATCATGTAAAAAATATAAATGCATATCGCTATTGTTATCACCAAACATGTTTCCATAGAGGTAGTCAGGTAGAGTACAAAACACAACAAATACATATATTTTGTACAAAGTATTAGCTAACTTTGTCATAATTAATGTATGAAATGTGTAAAAGTTAAAACGACGTATCCAAAGACTAAAGAATTATATCTATATATAATAAAGGCTCATAAAAACCAATGTAGGTTAGTACTCTTTTGGTCATGAAAATTTGTTGGTGGTCATGCTATAGCTATACGAAGTTGTACATCATGGTGAAGGCATAGTGTCGTGGCAATATGTTCATGGGAAGGAAGCAGCCCTAGCCTCTGAGGCCCGACAATTTTTATGGAGGGTGGGTAATCACCCCGACAATTTTTATGGAGGGTGGGTAATCACCCCGACAATTTTTATGGAGGGTCGGTAATACCCCGACAATTTTTATGGAGGGTTGGCAATCACCACGATAATTTTTAAGGAGGGTCGGTAAACACCCCGACAATTTTTATGGTGGGTCGGTAATCACCCCGACAATTTTTTATGGAGGGTCGGTAATCACCCCAACAATTTTTATGGAGGGTCGCCGGGTCGGTAATCCCTCCGGCAATTTTTATGGAGGGTCGATAATCACCCCGACAATTTTTATGGTGGGTCGGTAATCACCCCGACAATTTTTATGGAGGGTCGGTAATCACACCGACAATTTTTATCCGACAATGTCATGGTGGGGGTAATCACCCTGACAACTTCAATTCGTGATTTAATTATATATTTTTGGGGGAAATGGTATTTCTGGAAAGTTACATTTTTTGAAGGTTGAACACTCTTGAAAAACTATGTTGTTTATAGTTGAATTTCGGAAGACTTATATTCTTTGAAAATTATTAAATAATTATAATTTTTAGAGACTTATGTTCTTGGAAAATTGTATCATTGGGAAGTTATGTTTTGGTGTGATATATTTTAGGGAATCTACTTTTGGAAAAAATTATTCATTTGGAAGGTGATGGTTTCAAACGTGATTTGTGGAACGTGAAACTTTAGAATGTATTACTTTGGGATGTGGTTTTGTGATAGCGGTATTTTTCCTTCTATGTGGAGATGTGATTATATGTGAATGCTTAAATGTTCTAATTGCTATTTTAACTACAAATATGTTTTTTTGGATAGATATATTTTGCTCTTACATGGAGAGGTGACCTATTTAAAATTTAGATTTATTACTTCAACTATAAAGGTATTTTTTAATTATGAATATATATGGATTTATAAATGTTATTTCAAATGTTGGATGTTGTTTTAAACAAGAAAAAAAAGGTTTTGGAAACTATTAAGGATTTTTAAAAGATAATAATAATATTGTTTTTTTAAATATAATTTTGAATATGAAAAATAGTATCCTTGGTGGAATATGGATTTTCGAAAGTATATTACGTATCAAATCTATTTTGGCAAATTATATTATTTAACGGGGTTGGGTAGGTCTTACTTAGCTAAAAAGCTAATTTTTATTTCCCTTTCTTTGTTTGTTTCCGCACATTAATTGTGCAGGTGATGAAGATTATCCTTGATGATGAGAGTTGCGTTAGATCATGTAGTTTAGTATTTATAATCACCTAGTCATTGTTTATTTCAATTTGAGAACATGTAGACATTTAATTTGCATTTCAAAATTTAAATCATTAAATACTTGGATTATTGTTGGATGGTGGTTTTGCCTGTGCATTCGGTTAAGTGAGAACCGAATGTGGCAGTAACACCCATTGAATGTTTGACTTCCGCTGTAATTTAAACTCTTTTGAATTAAATGTATTGGGAAGTTCTTTCTACACTTGCTATAATTAACATATATTTCGGGTATAAATTTGGGGGTGTTACAAATTGCTATCAGAGCCTTTGTTTTTCAAAATCTTTTGATAGGTTTTCTAAACATTTTTCAATTGACTTAATTAATTTATTAATTAGGTTTAAAGAACCTGATTAGTAATAAAGTTTAAGGCTTAGGTTCGCGGTGAGATTGTGGGATGCCTGATTTATTATGGTTTATTTTGATTAATTTTGATGACCTGAGAAGTATGTGAAAAGATCTAAAGAAAATAGAGGAATAGATCGAAAGAAAAGAAAAGAGAGCGGGAGAGAGGGGGGGGGGGGGGGGGGAGAGGACCGGAGTCAATACGTCGAAAGCTGCCGTACTGATAAGTCCGTATTTAGACACGCATTTGATGCGTGTTCGGGTCGGATTATGATGATTTTCCTGGCTTTAAGGCGTTGCAAGTCTCAACTCGGATCGAGTTTCATAGCATTTGGAGTTGATTTGAAGAAGTTAGAGTCTGGCAATCGGCGCTTGAGAGGCATTCGGGAAGCATTTGAAGGCATTCGAGAGAGATTTGGAAGATTTGGAGGCCACCGGGAGAGTCACGACGAAATTCTGGTGAAGAAAGAGCATTTGGATCGACCTCGTAGGCATTCGGGAGCATTCGGAACGAGAAACGAAGAAAAACGATGAAGAAATGGTCAGGCACGGCCGTGCCTAGGGCAGGCACGATCGTGTCTGCCATATGAATTGACGCGGAGCTACTGGCAGCCAGACACGATCGTGTCCGGTGCAGGCACGATCGTGTCTGCAATATTTTTGCGCGTCTCTTCCGCAGACACGGTCGCAGGCACGATCGTGCCTAGCACCGTGTCTGGCCCCGTTTTGTCCTAAATCAGCTCAAATTCTCCGTTTTTCTATAAATAAGGCCTTCATACCCACTTTTGGGGTTACGAACTTTGGAGAGAGGCCTAGGGACGAGTTTACCTGCGTTTTTTACGTTGTTTAATCCAAGAACCTGAGATTCTTTGTAAGTTCAATTCTTTAATTAATGACAATTATTTCTATTCATCCCAATTCTTTTGATTCGTCAATTATGAGGCGTGAGTAGTTTAATTAGGGATTTGGGGTTGATGAAGGGGTTAATCATGATTGATAGCTAGATTCTTGTCGGTTTAATTGTATGAATGCCGTTTAATTTGTGTTTGAATAATTTAACTGATATCTCTTGTAACCTAGATTGCCACTAGAATTACAATTGCTTATAGAATAAATTAAGAGAGATCTAATTTGTTCTAGGACACATTCACACACACTTAATCGTTCGCTAAGAGATTAGTAGCGATTAAGGGGCCGTAAGCTCGTTCGTTTTGGCAATAATTTAGGATCTTGTCGCATGAGAGATCAGCCTGGACCCCTAAATTATTGTACTCTACGCCGCGAGAGCGGTAAGAACTTAGTAATGACTAGCTAGGCTTAATTAAATTAAATTCATGTGATTAGGCCTGTTCTGCCAGAAATCTGGTTAACCCCGGATCAATTCCTATTCCCTTCGTTGTTAATTAAGGAAAACCAAATCTTTTTATTCGCTCATTAGCATTAGTTTTAGTTTAATCAATCAACCAATCTCGCACAATTGCACTTTTATTTTATTTATTTCTTTTTAATCGTTGAATTTAGTTAAACCTTATTTCCCTTTTGTCCGTCCCTGTGAAGACGATACTCGTACTTTCAACCACTTTTCTACAACCATTTTAAGTGCGAGAAAACTCACATCACATACCGACCAGTCATGTGGCTGAACCACTTGCCAGAGAAGAAAACCCGACCAATTCGTTGTGTCGGGCTGCTGGTAAAGCCACCGTCATTCGGACCGTGGACGGCGCTGGAAGAGTAGACCACAGGGATTGCCACTGATTGGAAGCCCGACTGCTAAGCCGCTGCACTCTCCCCTGTTTGCTGAGTAGCATCGTCCGAAGGAGGAAGAAGAGTACGTAGTACTCTGGACCTATCTTTTGTTTGAATATCGGGCTTTGGTAAATGAATGGTCTGGACAATTTTAAAGAATTGGGTCAATTAAAATAAACTAATAAAATTTATGGATTTAATTGATGAATTATCATGACCAATTTATAATGGAACATATTGAGTTTATGGATTTGAGAAACAGACAATTTTATGGAGGGTCGGTCATCACCCCGACAATTTTTATGGAGGGTCGGTAATCACCCCGACAATTTTTATGGAGGGTCGGTAATCACCCCGACAATTTTTATGGAGGGTCGGTAATCACCCCGACAATTTTTATGGAGGGTGGGTAATCACCCCGACAATTTTTATGGAGGATCGGTAATCACTCCGACAATTTTTATGGAGGGTCGGTAATCATCCCGACAATTTTTATGGAAATGATATTTCTGGAAAGTCAAGGCGTTGGGAGATTCTTTGGAGATAGTCAAGGGGGGGATTAGACGTATTTGGGGTAGTGGTCAACTATCATTAAAATGGAAACAATATGTGATAGAAAGAGGTGAGAAATGTAGGTTTTCCTAAAGATTTGTCTATTCGTTGGAATAGTACTTATAAGTTAATTAGAGTTCTTCTGAGATATAAAGATCTTTTTCCTGCTTTTTTAAAATAATATGATAACTATATTATAAACTCGGCTGAGACCGACACATGCGAAAAAATTTGTAATGCTTTAGTATATTTTAATTATGCAACTGAAACTTTTAGTCATGTTTATAAACCTACCTCAAACCATTTTATTCGTGAAGCCGTTAATCTCGCCGGTGCTTTTAATGAATTTGAGACTGCCGATTACGTTAATTATTTTGCTGAATCTATGAAGGAAAAGTTTTTGAAATGTTATGCACATATTCCACATATTAATGGTATTGCATTTGTTCTCGATCCTCATTTTAGACTTGCTTCTTTTGAAGAACTAGTATTGTACCCGTGCGATGCACGGGACAAACTGTAAATTTTTTTGCACGAGACAAAAGTGTATCCTGTTGTAAAACCATCAAATTGACAAGTGTGAATTATTCATCCTTGTCATTAGGACACCTAGCTATTCATCATCCTTGTAATGATCCTTGTAACCTAGTTAGAACAGGTGGCTCAATTTGTTATTGCCACCAAATCTGTAGACTCATCATTTAGGTGACTAATCATCAAGCTCAAACACTATAAATATGAGCTTGATGAAGCCTTGTAAATTAATTTTAGAAACTCAGAAACTTTCTGATATTAAGAAGAAGTTATTCAGAGCTTATTAATAATATATTTATCTCTTAAATCTGTTCTTCATCTTCTTCATTTCACAACACGTTATCAGCACGAATCTGCTCAGAAGTGTTCAAGAAATCATCTCCTTATAGCACCAATTAGTTCAAAAGCTTCACCACTCTATCCCCTGCAGGTATTACCGTATTAACATCAATACTTATCATCTTCTTTTACTATACTGAAACGCATGTTGAGTTTTTTTCGTTAAACTCCACCGTTTCATTAAATAAAAGAAAACTTTATTTGACGTACATACCTTTGAAATACATCCCATTAGCCAGTATCACTTTTCCCATCTCGGTAGACTCGTTATACGAAGAAGAGGAAATTAAGTTGAGAAGAGTAAATTATAACCGTGTGCTCCACAATATAATAAATAAAGGATGACTAAGTATAAGAAAGAAGGAAACCGTAGTGCTTCAGAGTAACAGAATATATGAAGAGAGAAAGATATGAAGTAATGGATAGAAACGGTCAAAGTATGGAGGACAACTCAATATATCTAATACTCCGTAGATACTAGGTAGCTGGTAGTAATCACGAGAACACAATGTGTGGTTCTAGTTTACATGCAGTACATTACAAATTACATATACTGATGAGTTCTGATGTTATATTGAAACTAATAAACAAATAGGTAAGTGACAACGTAGTATTAAAAGCTCTCTGAACATACATAGAGGATAGATTGTCACGGGTAATATAAAAACCAAATCAACCGTTAGATAACTGATGAAAACGGTTAGCAACACAAGAGGGGGGTGAATTGTGTGCGTGTGGAACCGTGGCAGTTTTTCGCCGAGTTCTAGTGTGGGATAAAGGGAATTGCGAAATAGTAAAGTGCACAAGAATTTAACGAGGAAAAATCCCTTGGCTCAAGGGGATTAAAAAACCTCGACCTCCCTCGGAGGAATTTTAACAACTTCACTAAAAAGCCTTTGAATGATTACAAGGGAAACTCTCCTAGTCTACCCTTGAGCCACCCCAACTCTATCCTCTCTAGGAAGAGTTACGCTTCTCTACCTTGCGGGTAGAGAGCCTCTCAGCTTTACAATAAAGCTCTCACTCACACAAAACAACCCGAGGAGGCTACTCTTAGCCAATCCTCAAAACCCCATTACAATATGAAGAAGGGAAGTAAGAACCTCTATCTAGAACTCCGAGTGAGCAGTTTCAGGTGCCTTGAACTTCGTATTTTTCTCGAGTGTGTCTCTGAATATTTCTCTGGTCAAGCACGCTTTCTTTCTCTCTAGCTGCTCCGTTTATATAGGTTATCTTGGGCAGACCGTTTGAGCATCCTTCCTTGAATAGATGATCTTCTAATCTTGGGACTTGCCTTGATATTTTTGAATCACTTTCCTTTCATAGGCTCGGACCATATATATCACACGGATATTTTCTCAATAATAAATATCCGCCCAAATCAAGAAGAATATTGAATTTACTTAGCATGCATAGGCGGCAATCAAGAATGCAAATAGAAGGAAAATATATTTATTTACCATGCATAATCTAGCACCAAGTTATAATTAGCAAGCCTTTAAAAACGTATCTCAAGAGGCCGGATTATTCATCAAAGATATGAATGGTCAACATTCAAATATGCCAGCACACATCCTTAAACAAATTAATCAAATAAATTAATCATGGATAATCATTTATGGGAAGGAGATATTTATTAAATCATACAAGTAGCAATGCATACAATACGTAAGAGCTATGGTCAACATCCAATTATTAATCATGCAATCATTAATATAGCAAGTAAGGATACTTTCCATAAAGTAAAAAGCTATATTAATAAGTGGATGTCTAATCAAGCATGTAATGAGAATAAGTTGCTCAATGGAAAGTACGTATATATATAATGGCCATGCAAAAAAGATATTATTGTTTAAAATAATATTCTTGACAAGTATGAGCACTCACATAAGGAGAACACATTAATTTTCAATTAAGTAGGTGCAATCAATATTAATTCAAACCATATCACGGAACTAGAACTGGGTCAGTATTAGTTCCACCTGCATGGTTAGTCAACAACATAATAATAATGTCCATTTGGACCTGAGGATAGTTCTGGGTTCAGGTCTATGGCTTGTTCCAAAGTATGACTTATCTTCCTTTCCTGCAATCACTTATAGACCAAAAGTAACACTAGTTGTTTGTCATCAACAAAACAATATGTTCCAACAAATTCCCCCTTTTTGTTGATGACAAACACTTGGTGCCCTAAAGTTAGTTTCATAATGGATAAGCACAAAGTATCAAGCATAGAACACGTAGGGCACATATTCTTCCCCCTTTTGTCAACAACAAAACAATAAATAGCTTGAAAGATAAAAGATGAACGAGAAAAATTCAAGAAAAATAGTTCATGCGTTGACGAACCCAAATTCCATCCATATTTGGTTATGATCATCAAGCTTGTTCTTGAATACCCATTTGAGACCAATTACGGTCTTGTTTTTGGGTCATGGTTCTAGATGCCATACTTTAATTCTCTCAAACTGATTTAGTTCTTCCTGCATGGCTAGAACCCAGTCAGTGTCGGAGAGAGCCACTTCATGGTTCTCCGGTTCTATAAGAGATAAATAAGCAGAGAAAGTATAAAAAATTCTAAGTTTAGATCTAGTAGTTACTCCCTGATTTAGATCAGTCAAGAGATTATCCAAAGGATGTGATCGATGAAGTTTACATCCTCATGAGGATGATTTACAACTTCACACAAGTCGCCTGGAACTAGGTCTGCATGTTCTTCAGTCTAATTTGCAGTGGATTGACTGGGTACATCCTCAGTTCTAAGCGTGTAATCGTCAGTTCCTATTCCCATCTTCTCATGCCGATAGGTTTCATGATTGGTTCACCCTTTCTCATGGAATAGGTGCAATCTCCGCGTTTAGAGTTTCTGCCCATAAATTCTTTGCTAGACCACTAGAGATGAACATAGTTCTAACCACCTCTCGTTCTTGGCAGAATGTATCGAAGAGCGTATTGTCAAATTCGGTCCCATGATCCGAACGGATCTTAATTAATTGTTGCCCTATTTGATGCTCAACTTTCCTTACAAAAATAACAAACTCATTAAAAGTATCTTTCTTACTAGCAAGAAAGATAGTCCAAGTATATTTTGAGAAATCATCAACAATTATAAACGCATATTCTTTATTAAAAATAACATTGTTACCTCCATCACAGAATTGAAAGATACTTGGCAAATTGAACTTATAACCTTGACAAAAAAAATCAATTAAATGGTTGGGTGATTTTCTAATTTTCCCACGGCTACAATTTCTCCTTTGCCGTTGTCTCCAAATATCACCTTCCCACCATTAAATGGCCGAAGTGAGAGGAATAAAGATGAGTCTCCAGTCATGTGCTTAGAACAACCACTGTTAAGGAACCAGTGATTGTTCCCCCTCACTTGGCGCTGTTCCTGAATCACGGGTTAGCATGTGGAACCCAGACTTGCTTGGGTTCCATTTTGTATTTGTTTGAGGATGGATATCTAACATAGTCAAAACATCTTTCTAAGGTCTTTTGTCGAGAGTGACATTGATACCGAAGATGCCCGATTTTGCCACAATGCATGCAAACTCGGTTTTCATAGGTATCAACGTATTTAGGTTTCCATTTACCATAAAAGCCTCTTGTTTTCTTATGAAAAGTTCGGTTTGGCGTTTGTCCATAACCATTTTTGTGCCTCTGAACCAGTCTATCGAACCAGTTTGGTCCAGTTCTAGGTGGTTGTTGATATGGTCTAGAACTGGGTTGTCCTCTGGTTCTATTTCCATTAAAGGATCGGTTCTGAAAAATCAGGTTTTTTATTAGGTTGAGTGTTCCTTGGAATATAACCGAGACCAGCAGTCTCGTTTTCCTTCTTATTGTGCCGAGGGGGACCAGTTCCAGAATAAGGTCTAGACCTGGTTTTGTTCGTAGCACTATATGCTTTGTATTCCGGTCTATTTTTAAAATCTGTACACTCGGCAACAAGACGATGAAGATGATCAATCAAAGTACCAACGCTCGGAATTTTTGAGAGAAGTTTTTCATCATGATTAACTTGTTTGTTCATACTATCGAGCTTAAGAGAGCAAATGATTTGATCTTGTTGTAAAACCACTTCACTGTACTTAAGCCTTTCATCTATTAACTCTCCCACTTTTGTTTTAAGCCTTATCTTGGCTCTCGTGGCTTCCTCGAGTTTAGACTCAAGCTCAGTGATTTGTGATTTAAGATGATCATTTTCAGAAAGATTTTGATTAAGCTCAATAGTCAATCTTTTGAAAATTTTCCGGGCTTTGGTTTTGGATAGAGAGTCAAACTTAGATAGAAAATTTTCAAAGTTTACCTCGAAGCTCTCTTGGTCGGATTCCTCGTCGGAGTGTGCCATAAGACATAGACCTGTATGGTTAGAGTTCTTATCACTCTCCTCTTCTTCGTCATCGGATGAGTCTCCCCAGGCTGCCATCATTGCCCTTTTGAGATCTCTTTTGAACCCTTTGTCTTTGCTGGACCTCTGGTTAGAACTGGACTTGTTCTTGTCGTAGGTCCGGTCATTTTTCTTTTGTGAACAGTCTTTAGCCCTGTGCTCAAGGGAACCACAAACAAAACAGCCTTGGTTATTAAAAGATTGAAAGTTATTTTTACCTTGTTTGTTCCGGTTGTTCTTGAACCGTCGGTACATCTTCCCGAATTGTCTAGCAAATATGCTCATCTCATCTTCCGATTCACTTTCGGATTCTTCCTCCTCTTCTCGAGCTTTTAGAGCAATTCCTCTCTCTCGCCTAGCATTCTCGGCATCTTGTTCTTCTTGAAGACCTAGTTCATATGTCAAGAGTGATCCAGTCAAGTCTTCAAGCGTCATGGTGGATAGATCCTTTGCTTCTTCAATAGCCGTGGTCTTAGGCTTCCATACTTGGGGCAGACTTCTTAAAATTTTTCTTACTTGATCTTCCACTGTAATTTCTCTTCCAAGGGCTGAAAGCTCATTGATGATATTAGTAAAACGTGTAATCATATCCTTAATTGACTCTCCAGGCTTCATTACGAATAATTCGTAATTACGCATAAATATGTCAATTTTAGATTTTTTTACACGTGAGGTACCTTCATGAGTAACCTCGAGCAAATCCCACATTTGTTTTGCAGTCTTACATCCTAGAACTCGGTTGTGTTCAGCAGGACCAAGACCACAAATCAAGTATTTAAGAGCTTGGGCATTATGCTCGAGTTTTTGATAATCATTAGTAGTAAATTCAGCTTTAGGTTTAGGAACAATTTTACCTTCGCCGTTTAGCTTTGTGATGACGTTGTCGCCACCTTCTATCACATTCCATACCTGATAATTATCGGCTTTGATAAAGTTCTCCATTCGGCTTTTCCAAAATTGATAGAACTGGCCATTGAACATTGGAGGTCGTACGGTCGAATAACCTTCTTCAAGACGGTCAACCGTGTTCATTTTGCCGGATCTCTTCCCAATGTATTAACCTCTATGTGGTGAAGACCAGCTCTGATACCAATTGATGAAAACGGTTAGCAACACAAGAGGGGGGGGTGAATTGTGTGCGTGTGGAACCGTGGCAGTTTTTCGCCGAGTTCTAGTGTGGGATAAAGGGAATTGCGAAATAGTAAAGTGCACAAGAATTTAACGAGGAAAAATCCCTTGGCTCAAGGGGATTAAAAAACCTCGACCTCCCTCGGAGGAATTTTAACAACTTCACTAAAAAGCCTTTGAATGATTACAAGGGAAACTCTCCTAGTCTACCCTTGAGCCACCCCAACTCTATCCTCTCTAGGAAGAGTTACGCTTCTCTACCTTGCGGGTAGAGAGCCTCTCAGCTTTACAATAAAGCTCTCACTCACACAAAACAACCCGAGGAGGCTACTCTTAGCCAATCCTCAAAACCCCATTACAATATGAAGAAGGGAAGTAAGAAACTCTATCTAGAACTCCGAGTGAGCAGTTTCAGGTGCCTTGAACTTCGTATTTTTCTCGAGTGTGTCTCTGAATATTTCTCTGGTCAAGCACGCTTTCTTTCTCTCTAGCTGCTCCGTTTATATAGGTTATCTTGGGCAGACCGTTTGAGCATCCTTCCTTGAATAGATGATCTTCTAATCTTGGGACTTGCCTTGATATTTTTGAATCACTTTCCTTTCATAGGCTCGGACCATATATATCACACGGATATTTTCTCAATAATAAATATCCGCCCAAATCAAGAAGAATATTGAATTTACTTAGCATGCATAGGCGGCAATCAAGAATGCAAATAGAAGGAAAATATATTTATTTACCATGCATAATCTAGCACAAAGTTATAATTAGCAAGCCTTTAAAAACGTATCTCAAGAGGCCGGATTATTCATCAAAGATATGAATGGTCAACATTCAAATATGCCAGCACACATCCTTAAACAAATTAATCAAATAAATTAATCATGGATAATCATTTATGGGAAGGAGATATTTATTAAATCATACAAGTAGCAATGCATACAATACGTAAGAGCTATGGTCAACATCCAATTATTAATCATGCAATCATTAATATAGCAAGTAAGGATACTTTCCATAAAGTAAAAAGCTATATTAATAAGTGGATGTCTAATCAAGCATGTAATGAGAATAAGTTGCTCAATGGAAAGTACGTATATATATAATGGCCATGCAAAAAAGATATTATTGTTTAAAATAATATTCTTGACAAGTATGAGCACTCACATAAGGAGAACACATTAATTTTCAATTAAGTAGGTGCAATCAATATTAATTCAAACCATATCACGGAACTAGAACTGGGTCAGTATTAGTTCCACCTGCATGGTTAGTCAACAACATAATAATAATGTCCATTTGGACCTGAGGATAGTTCTGGGTTCAGGTCTATGGCTTGTTCCAAAGTATGACTTATCTTCCTTTCCTGCAATCACTTATAGACCAAAAGTAACACTAGTTGTTTGTCATCAACAAAACAATATGTTCCAACAATAACTCAGGTTGAATTCTAACAGCAAAGTTAAATTCTTGTTACTACGGAGCATAATTTATCTAAACATTACTGATGCACATTTAATTTAAATAATATAGAATAAAATGAATGCATAAAATTAATAAAACTGGTACGTACATTATTACCTATATTTAGACTATTCTAAAGCTCATAATATTCTGTAAAAGGTTTAGTAATAAATTTGTATTGATAATTATTGTAGTACCATGGCCAACATTAGCAAAAGAGAATTTGATGTTCTTGATCTATCTGGCCAAAAATATTTGGAATGAAAAGTTGATGCTTTAGCACATTTAATTTGAAGGCTAATGGTCTTGAAGACACTATTGAGGCAAATAAGCCGTCAACTGCCCAAGACAAAGCGAAAGCTATTATTTTCCTCTGTCACCATCTCCATGAAAGTCTCAAATCTGAATATCTTTTGGTTGATGATCCAAAAGAATTATGGGACAATTTACAGGAGAGGTATAGCCACCAGCAAAAGGTCCTTTTGCCTAAAGCTCAATATGACTGGATCAATCTAAGATTTCAGGACTTTAAATCTATCAGTGACTATAATTCTACTATGTTCCAAATAACATCCAAACTAAAGTTATGTGGGCAAAAAGTCACTGATGCTGATATGTTGGAGAAAACCTTTTCTACAATGCATATTTCTAATATGCTACTACAACAGCAATACAGAGAAAAGGGTTTTAAGAAATACTCTGACCTTATATCAGTTTTATTGGTCGCTGAGCAAAATAATTACCTTTTGATGAAAAATCATAATCTGAGACCCACTGGTTCTAGTCCTTCAGTTTATGGTCCATCTGGCCATAATTTAGCCACTGAAACAAATGCAACACACAGTGGCAGTAGAAGGCATTTTAAACGTGGGCATTTTAATGGTCATAATAACAAGTCCCACCGAGGATATAAACGGGTCGAAAGACCAAATTACAAGGGCAAGGGCAAACAAAAAGTCCATCAAACAAATCGCCCTACAAAACCCTCGGTGAAGACGACTTGTTACAAATGTGGCATGACGGGACACTGGGCTAACAAATGCCGTACTGCAAAGCATCTTGTGGAGTTATTTCAAGCTTCCATGAATTTAAACAAAGGCAAAAAAGTGGAAGCGAATTATGTCAATGATACAACTCCATCTCTGCCAAAATTCGATGTCTCCGACTTCTTCATGGATGATAGCATAATGGACGATGCTTTTGCCACTGATCAAAATAACACAAAATAAATTATAAGACTTTTGCATGTTGTAAAATAGTAGTTTATGTTTTCATGTACTATGTACTTTTTTTTATGTTGTTCTCACAAATAAATGTGTAATATATGTACTTTTATGATAAATAATATGCATAATTTGTGATATCTACATATCAAACTTATGTTTATTTACATATATTGAAGATATGGATCACTCAAATGATAAAGAGCTATGCCTGATAGACAGCGCCACAACGCACACCATTTTGAGAAATAAAATATATTTTTCTCAAATGACTTTAGTTGAAGCTAAAGTCAATACAATATCAGGTGTTGCGAAGCTCATTGAAGGCTCTGGGAAAGCATATGTGATGCTCCCTAATGGAACAAAATTACTTATAAATGACGCTTTATACTCCAGCAAATCGCGGAGAAATTTATTAAGCTTTAAAGATATGCGTCAAAATGGTTATCACATAGAAACCATGAATGAAAACCAAAAGGAATATCTTTGTCTAACGACAACTAAATCTGGCACTAAATGTATTTGTGAAAAAATGCCAGCATATTCCTCAGGACTATATTTCACTCATATTAGTCCATTCGAAATAAATTTGGTTTCTAACGCAAAGTTAGATGATCAGAAAACATTCATGTTGTGGCATGAACGTTTAGGTCACCCAGGCCATGTAATGATGCATAAAATCATTAAGACTTCACTTGGACACCCATTAAAGAATATAAGGGTTCCAATTTCAAGGGATTTTCCTTGTAAGGCGTGTTCTCTTGGCAAAATGATCATCAGGTCTTCTATGAACAAAATTGCAACTGAATCACCTGCATTTTTAGAACGGATTCAAGGAGATATTTGTGGGCCGATTGCCCCTCCATGTGGACCATTTCGATTTTTTATGGTGTTGATTGATGCTTCAACACGTTGGTCACATGTTAGTCTTTTATCGACTAGAAATTTAGCATTTGCTAAACTCCTTGCTCAAATTATACGATTAAGAGCTCATTTTCCGGATCATTCTATAAAAAGAATCCGACTTGATAATGCAGGAGAATTTACATCTCAATCATTTAACGATTATTGTATGTCGATTGGGATTGATGTGGAGCACCTTGTTGCTCATGTCCATACACAAAATGGTCTTGCTGAATCTTTGATTAAACGATTACAATTAATAGCTAAACCATTATTAATGAAGTATAATTTACCTTCATCAGCTTGGGGACATGCTATTTTGCATGCAGCAAATTTAATTCGGCTTAGACCGACTGCATATCATGAATATTCCCCAATGCAATTAGTTACTGGACAAGAGCCAAACTTAGCACACATAAAAATATTTGGTTGTGTTGTTTATGTTCCAATTGCTCTAGCTCATCGTACAAAAATGGGTCCTCAAAGAAGGTTGAGAATTTATGTTGGATTTGAATCTCCCTCAATAATAAAATATCTTGAACCGATGACTGGTGACTTATTCACCGCACGGTTCGCTGACTGTCATTTCAATGAGACAATATTCCCAACCTTAGGGGGGGAAACTAATAAATCGGACCCAAGTACGAAAGAAATAACATGGAATGCAACAGGATTATCACACCTTGATTCTAGATCAAATATATGTGAGCAAGAGGTGCAAAAGACAATCCATTTACAAAATGTTGCAAATCAGTTGCCTGATGCATTCACAGATACAAAGAAAGTGACAAAGTCACATATTCCTGCTATGAATGCCCCTGCCAGAATCGAAATCCCAACAGAGAATTCTGAAAAATCTCTTGCAAATGATTCTTCTATACGCAAAAAGCGTGGCAGGCCACTTGGATCGAAAGACATAAAACCAAGAAGAATTAAAAGGCGGGAATTGATCTGTGATGCCAAAGATGTTCATCCTTTTGAACAAGAAAATGAACAATTTGAAAATACTGCAAAATATCTTATGAAAGAATTTGAAATGAAAGATCTCGGGAGAATCAAATTTTGTCTCGGACATCAAATTGAGCATTTGAAGAATGAAATTTTCATCCACCAATCCAATTACACCGAGAAAGTTTTGAAGGGATTCTATATGGACAAAGCTCATCCATTGACCTCACCAATGGTCATTCGATCTCTTAACATACACGATGATCCATTCCGTCCCCGAGAAGACGACGAAGAAATACTCGGTCCCGAAGTACCATATCTGAGTGCTATTGGAGCTTTAATGTATTTAGCTAATAATATTAGACCATATATTGCATTTTCTGTAAATTTATTAGCTAGGTACAGTTCATGCCCAACAAGACGTCATTGGAACGGGATCAAGCACATATTCCGTTATCTACGTGGTACAGCTGATCTCGGCTTATTTTACCACAAAGATGCAAAAGCTGCTTTAATCGGATATGCAGACGCTGGATACTTATCAGATCCTCAAAAGGCAAAATCACAAACCGGGTACGTATTTACTTATGGTAATACCGCAATCTCGTGGAGATCTATGAAACAGGCGTTAACAGCTACATCATCAAATCATTCGGAGTTAATTGCACTTTATGAAACCGGGAGGGAATGCGTCTGGCTGCGATCTATGATTCAACACATCCAAAATGAATGCGGTATGAAACCTATTACTTGTCACCCCATTATGATCTATGAAGACAACATCGCGTGCATAGCTCAAATTAAAGAAGGCTACATCAAAGGAGACAAAACAAAACACATATCACCAAAGTTCTTCTCTACTCACGATCTGGAGAAAGAAGGGACGATCAACATTCAACAAATCAGATCAAGTGAAAATCCGGCTGATCTCTTCACCAAGTCATTGCCCCCGAAGAAGTTCGTAGAACTTGTACAGAAAATCGGCATGCGCCGCCTTCATAATTTATGCTAAATTCAGGGGGGGTATTTGAATGCATTGCACTCTTTTTTCCTTGATCATGTTTTTATCCCACTGGGTTTTTCCTGATAAGGTTTTTAACGAGACAGTACATCCAAATACGACATTATATGTCGTAATTTTTACCCCTTAAGTTTCACACTCATTTTTACAATAAGATAACAAATACATATTCAAGGATGAACATTCAAGGGGGAGTGTTGTAAAACCATCAAATTGACAAGTGTGAATTATTCATCCTTGTCATTAGGACACCTAGCTATTCATCATCCTTGTAATGATCCTTGTAACCTAGTTAGAACAGGTGGCTCAATTTGTTATTGCCACCAAATCTGTAGACTCATCATTTAGGTGACTAATCATCAAGCTCAAACACTATAAATAGGAGCTTGATGAAGCCTTGTAAATTAATTTTAGAAACTCAGAAACTTTCTGATATTAAGAAGAAGTTATTCAGAGCTTATTAATAATATATCTATCTCTTAAATCTGTTCTTCATCTTCTTCATTTCACAACATATACGTATTTTTTTTGTTTATAATACGGAGTAATATAAGGCAGCACATATTGAAATGCTTTGGTAGAATATTACGGAGTAATATTCAACTAACAATTAAATGCATGTATAATACATAACAAAATAAAACAAATATAAGTTGTTTCATTTCATAAAACTAACACTTCGCAACGTAGAAAACATTAAACATGCTCAAAAATACGGAGTAATATAAGGCGGCACATATTGAAATGCTTTGGTAGAATACTAGATTTTCACCCGTGCTTCGCACGGGATGCAGTTAGTAAGCAAAAATTATTTGTGAATATATAGAAATGTGGTGATAAAGATAGAACAACGAATATACAAAAGTAAGTGAAGATATAAAATAGTAAAATATTATCTACTTCCTTGTAAACACATTTAAACTCTTCTTGCTTGGTTTTCCATCATAATCACATATAATAAATTTTGATCTAACCAAGCATTCCAACCCAGCTGGTTGTGAAGTTACCGTGTCTAGTGGAAGGTCTCGAGTTTTAAACTTGCTAGGCACAAATGGTTTGAAACTCAATGGAGTGAGTTTCAGTCTGATTACTCCAGGCCCCCCAGAGTAAAAAAAAAAATAAAAAATTTATCTTCGATCCAGAGGGTGACATCATTCTTGAGACAGTGACGTAAAGTTGTCCATGGGTGAAAATTGAACGACGTAAGAAAACATCGACCCTCTTAAAAATTATCCCTGATTTTTGTTGATGGTCATCGCATAATTAACCATCAAAGAGATTGCTTACGCTAAAATGTGAATGACAACTTAAGGTCAGATGAATTCAAGCTAAGTTTCGCAATAAGAAACTTTTATCATGCAATTGTTTCTGACATCATTTGAGCCTCTAGAATATGTGTACCGAGTCTAGTGATGATAAGGCGAACTGCATTACACAATCTTGAAGAATGATCGATCTTCCTCATTAGCATCACATGTGCACCCACTTTTAGCTTCACCTCACGGCTTGGCACTCCAGAGCATTTAATGGTATTGAGAAATTCTGGAGAGTGGATCTCTTGAAGGAGTGCATTGTCTAAGTTCGAAGAAGATGTCAAAGTCGAGTTTAAGTATGTCTTTATCTCACTTGGAGTCAGTCCTAACATAAAATCGTTGATTTTGTAGCGTTCATCAATGGTTGGCCCAAGAATTCCCCTAAAATTCAAATATGAAATGTCATTAAAATGCATTTCAAAATCGAGACAGGTGTTCTTATTGCCAATAGCTTCAATAGGATCATTCATCATAGGAGCAATAAATTATTCGGGAATGTCACACCATTATTTCTCCATCATCACCGTCCTCTAAGATCCAATCTTCAAAATCCACTCGACAAATTTTTGAATTTCTAATGTGTAAGATGTTCCTCACGCTCGAGTCTCTTACTTTTTGTGAACGTAACTTCAACATCATGCATACTCATAATGTAGGACAGACCGGTGGGCGTAGCTCAATTGGTAGCGAGAGAGTGCCATAAGGGTTAAGTCTCGGGTTCGAATCCCAGCAACTGCAATAAGGGGTTACTATGCTGAAAAATGCATAGGGCATCTGCAAGTACTAGGGACGTAGCCCCACTCTCTATCTGTCAGGTTGTGATTATAGTCCAACTTACATGCTCCCATCATACTGTCCGGTCGGTGTTGGGAGGCCCTCAGGGATGGGGTGTCATCCTTTTTTTTTCATAATGTAGGACAATAGGAGTCCTATTATATGTAGATATAATTATACGAATAAAGACATACATCCCAGTAATACAAACACAAAATGAATACAATTCTAATTGTAGAAAATCCTAAAGTAATTGTATTGATATTGAAACTCTACTTTTAATTATTCCTTTTAAAATATGTTCATTATATAATATTTTCTACTCTTAAGTCTTATCCCCATATGTCTTCAAAGTAAAGTCTAGAAAGCCCTAGTTGGTTAAGTTTACAATTCTTTAAATAAACATTGAATAATTATTAATCTCTCAATTAGAGTAGAAGTAACATGATTTCAACTGGAATAGAAGTAGAAAGCCCTAATTTCTCTTTAACTTCAATTCAGTTTAATTTTGTACTTCTATTTCCAATCTAGAAAATCTAAATAATATCATCAATAAATGTTATCCCAATTAACGCAATTAGTAACATGTTACCACTTCTATTCAAAGTATTATATGAGTAAATATTACCTAAATAGTATTATACAGGTAACGATTGCTCTTTAACCTCATTTCCGGTTTTACTTTCTTTTTAATTTTAATTCTACTTCGGATTTAAGACATCTGAATACTTGTGGTTGGACCTGTTTTCAGATAGGGTCATCTGTTTCATTCTTTATCAAAGTGATTCATGTGTTTGAATTTCGTTATCACAAGAGGGTCACGCCGTTAAAAATGTCTGAAAAAGACCGTTAAAAGTAACTCCGATTTTCAAAAGTGCCCGAAAAATTAAAATAAAAATACCGAAAGGTGCGCCTCGTCAAGATGACCTCTAAACCACCTCCGCCTTTGAGTTTTTCAGATCTCTTTGAATTATTTTTTAAAAATGATATCCTCGGGACGGTAAACAATCCCAAGAACTCGGTGAGGTTGAGTATCCTCGGGACGGTAAACAATCCCAAGAACTCGGTGAGGTTGAGTATCCTCAGGACGGTAAACAATCCCAAAAACTCAGTGGGGTTGAGCATCCCCGGGAGGGTAAACACTCCCGAAACTCGGTAGGATATTATGAAGGTAGAATGTAGCCCTTGAGCTAGGCATTCGGGAAAGAAAGGGGAAAGGTTGGGTAAACACCTTATCTCTAAAAGACTCTTTTGTGAGGAAACGACCTACGGGTCAAGTATTTTACAAGTATATACAGTATGTATTATCTTGGGAATGGGGTAACAATGGTTACACCTATATATTTATGTATCATCCTATTTTTGGGTCTCGTGTCTGAAACATTAGTTATTCCTCATATAGCCTGCTTGTCACTAGTACTTCGTTCTGTGAAGTACTGACCCCTCCGGGGGCCCTCACTATTTTTCAGGTTAAGGCTAGAGTCCTGCTATCTGCACCTTTGCATAGGGTGGACTTCGAATAAGGAAGACTTGGTTCGTGCTTCCATTCTTATTTGACTTATGAAAATGCTCATGGATATTTGAACAATGTTTTCTATTAAACTATTGAAGGGCCTGCGTGCTCATGTATGCCACGTGTGGCTAATTACTAAACATATTTTATTTCCGCATTTGTTTGAGTAATATATTGATGTTGATTGTATGAGTTTACTAATCGGTTTGGCAATAGAATCTATCGGACGCCTTGTACGATTTGATAAGGATGAACTACGTTGTTCTTATTGGGTTGTACGGCGGTTGTCTACGTGGCACGGATGTGGTCCGGGGCGTGACACATCCAATGTAATACATAAATAATCATTTATGTATCTACACAATTCACACATGAGTAAAATGCCTATTTCACACAGTAGTTCACTTAACTCCATTTTTATCAATACTTTACCAAATCATTTTCCGTTTCATTCTTTGGAAAATAGATCAATATTCCATAAATAATTTATCATCATAATCCATTGAAAACATGATTTAGGCATTTAGGTAATCTCATGCTTAACCTACAAGTTGTAAGCAACTAGATGTCGATCCTCACCTCAAATGAGCTTTAAAACTTTCTTTCTCAATCCAATGACCAAAGCCTCGGCCAAAGAAGCTTGAGAACTGATTCCTTGCTTAGAAATGAGTGTTAAACAGCACCCTCAAAGTGCTAGCTCAACCTCTAATCGTTGATACGAAAACAGCCCCTAGAATGGGTGTTTTCCGGCTAACTCGTTTCCTAGTTTTCCAAGATTTGCTCTAGGTTAGTATCTAACCTTGACATCAATAAAATAACTTAATAGGGACATATTATACACTTATAGTAGTGTATAATAGTTCCACCAATCGTTCATATCATTTGGAAAATGAAGGGAAAGGTTTTGGGGTTAAAACTCACTTTAGAAGATTAGATCTGTTTCTGCAAGGTTGTGTTTTGCTCGGACGATTTGGAAGCCTTCAACTACTCCTATTGATGCAAACCAGACTTTCACGGATTCCTATTCTATATAGATTTCTTTTGGTACCTTACACGCCTCTATTGGATTGGTATAACTCGAGATATCAACCAAACAGCCTCAGCACTCTCAATCCTCGAGTTTACAGACAGCAGTTCACTCCAGCTCGATTTTTGTATAATAAACTCTCCCTTCTCGAACAGAGACCACTCAAATAAGAAACTAGACTTAAAAGTCTATCCAAGGACACCTTATACACGTTGTTTGGTCGAGTAAAACTCCCATAATGAGTGGAGACAAACAGCACACCCTTTTGTGCGAAAATAGAGATGGTGGCCCAACCTTTGATGCCTATCAAGTCTTGTGCAGCCCCTCTCCCTGCTGGACGGCCAAGGTAAGTCCTCTCATCCATTTTTATTTGTCTTGCAGGTACTAATATCATGTGGAGTGGTTCCCAATTGATCCCAATTATTTTGGGGTCCAAAATATCTACCAATACTTCCAAAAATGGGAAGATGAGTCCTATTGTTTTATCTTTGTCAAAGATGTCTTTTTGTACTCATCCTAATTTATTTAGAACAAGTCAACTTATTACATCACATTATTGATCTCCAATATGTGTAGGCTCATCTCAATAATTTACTTTATGGATATCAAAGAAGGAAAAATCCTACTCCCATTATTTAACTCAATAATGTCAAAGATGGGGCTATAGACATTTGTATTCATCTCAAATCATCCTAGCACTTATTTCGATGTTTGTCATCCGTATTATTGGACTACTAGCAGTGTGGGTCACCCCCGAGTGGGCCTACGACGTCATTCTCGAATACTTGCTATTTTAGCAGGTTGAGCCCAAAATAATGTCTGGGCCGCCCGACCTTCCTCAACTTGTCTTGAAAAGTTATGTATCATTATTTGGGAAAAATGTTGGGCTCTTATATTCATTAATAAGGCCCAAATAAGTATTTGCAAACCTGACAATAATACACGAGTTGACAAGTGCGATAATCAATCATACACTACGTAAAACATTAACCGTTTCACAATTGTTTAGAAATCGGAAATTCAATACATAAAATTGAATTTAAATTGAATTTTCAAGGACGTTCGGGTGCGGTGTCACAACAAGTACCTTTTTCGTACTTTTCCCTAAATATTATCCTAAAAAAGTAGTAAATAAATAGGGATAAGCACGATTAGTAACATGTTATTATTTAGAAGTACATAAAAATTATAAAATATAAATGTAAAAATGAATATTAAAAAAGTGTAGTTGAAAAATAGAAAAACTATTTTCCAAAACAGAGAAATATATAGTACGTAGTTGGAAACTTAGAATTATTCAATTTTATGAAATCCTAATTCCACCTCATAATCTCATATACTCCGTACATAAATAATAATATGCATATAAAATTAATTTTTCCCTGGGTAGTATTTCTAATCTACTAAAATACTTAAGCGGCTAAGAATGTTACATGGCCTTTTTCCCGTCATAACGGCCTCCTGTTTGTCCCCGTATTCGCCGCCATCCCAACTAACATATTCTTCCGTTTCTTTCCGTTTGTTTTCCCTGACGTTGGATTGAAGAGTCATCCGCACAGCAGCTCCGCAGGTACTGTCTTCGGCTGTCACGGATCATCCTGTGCAGGTATAAATATCGAAATATCTTATCCTTCCTGCGTAGGTCTTCCGAAGTCGCTTGTGCCGTTTTTCTTCCTGCGTAGGTCTTCACATTTTCCTGGTTCTCTTCTTCTATATCGGTTCTTCTTATGCAATTTCATGTTTCTTACATAGTTTTTACAGCTTTGGCATGTGATTGTTGATGATTCTATGGCATTGGTTTTCAATTTCTTGGGATTTTGGTACTTGTGAATTGAATTTCCACTGATGTCCTTTATTCAGTTTTATGATTCCATTGATGATTCTGTTGTTTTGATTTTCAGTTGTTTGGGCTTTTGGTACTTGTAAATTGGTACATGTAAATTGAATGTAGAAATAAGCTTCTCTCAGAACATATTCTGCCACATGATACTACAGGTATGCTATGATGCTATCTATCTACAACACTTACGCTTACAATTCGTTTAGCTACAAAAAATATTTATGGGAGAATCCTTTTTTTGATTTTTTTTACTTTCATACCTTCTGTGTGTGTTTTTCATAGAAATCATTCAAGTGCTCAACATATGTAACGTATCTCTGCATGCTCTTATCACAAAAACTCTCACTGGCTTCAACATTTTCATTTCGTGCTACCTACATTTTTCTCAAATATTGTTAGTTCGTTGTCTTTTCCATTAGCATTATTCCCTTAACGACTGTTTGATTGTATTCTAGGTATTTTGAGTATTCTCAGAGATACTCTTCTTCCAAATATGTATGTTTATTACATGCTAACCCCCCCCCCCCCCTCCCCATTCCCTTTTGTCTGAGTTAAGCCCCATTATCTCTCTTTATTTATAATTGTCTGCATGGATTGCCTTCGTTGCTTTCTATTTATGCCATTGTTTTTAGAATATATTTTAAACAATCATTAAACACATTTGGAACTTTTTTTGATGAAATGTTTTTTTAAAACTATCTTACTTGGTTTTACAATGCTTTGCCTTTACCGGAGTATTCTCAAACATGACTTCCTGAAATCAAACTAAACTGTCTCTTTGTGGTTTTTCTATTCAGGTACTCGAACAACGGTTTACACTTCCATTGTCTTCCTTTGTCCATCCCATAAGTACACTGCCCTTTTCATTGGTTATTTTCAATTCACCCTTGTAATGTTTATATATTTGCTTCATTTACGTTGCCTTACATTTGTATTTAATGACTATTTCTCCCAAACTTCAATTATATCTTTTGTTTTGTGCTCACACTTGTCATGAATTAACACTCCTGCCTAATTTTAACTCACAAACAACTTCTATAAACTATTTTTTAATGTCATTCCAACCAACTACATTGTTTAAAGCCACACACGCTTGAAACCTAAATACCATCCTAATCCAAACAGCCGAAATTACTAAAATTTCTAAAACCTGCAAACCATGTTGCTTTCATTTTTTCCTTTTTATTCTATTGATTTTACAATATGTTTTAAACACTCACTAAACACATTTGGAACCTTTTTGCTGAAATATTTTTTTAAGCCAACCTTACTTGGTTTTACAATGTTTTGCCTTGACCGGAGTATTCTCAGGCGTGATCTGCTGAATTCAAACTGAAATATGCCTTTGTGGTTTTTCTATTCAGGTACTCAACCAGCGGTTTTGCATTTTCAGCGTGTTCCTTTGTGCATCCCATAAGTACACTGCCCTTTTCGTTGCCTATTTTGAATTCAACCTTGTAATGTTTATATGATAGATTAATTTACATTGCCTTACATTTGTATTCACTGATTGTTTGTCCCAAACTTTGAGTATTTCTTTTGTTTTTGTTCTCACAGGTATCATGGATTTCTTATCCACGTGTACAGTTGATAAGATAACTAATGCTAGCAATAATACTGTTTTCAGATACTATGTTCACACCGTCCATGGGAGATGCATTGTTGTTACTACAATTGACCCTACTGAACCACCTCAGCCTGAGTGCACACAACACATGGTGATTGGAAACACTTTTTTGCGCGCGCTGGGTACTTTCGATTACTACCCATGTCGTTCACGAACAAAACAGAACTGCACCACAAAATCAAGCACTTTCTGCAGCGAGGTTCTTCATTGCCTCACCTTCCAGGTCTTCTATCCTCCAAACCCCCCCACTGCTGTTCACTTCCTTTTACAACTTCTCTAATTTTCATTTTTTCCTTATTGTACATTTCCACAGTTTACCCTCAAACGGCACTATTCATTGTATTCCTGCAAGTTACAAATTTAGTTGCTGCATCATATTTTTTGTCCATTACATTGACCATCAACTAATGTGTATTCTTATGTATTCAAGACCTTTTCTATATGTACAATCAATCGTGTTTACCCAACTGCCCATACCGCCAGATGAACTACCCACCCTCATTTTTATATATTCCTAACCACACTGCAAAGGTATTCTTTGTCCACGTATTCCAAATTACATCCCTTATCATGTATATTTAATACTTTACCCCATCATACATTTATCTTTTCAATTCAGCAAACTTGTGAACCTTTCTTATGCCAACCCAACGATCAACAAGGCCACTTCCAAGCATTCCTTCAAACAGAGGACGCATATATGGTCACACGAGCCGTCCCAATACTTTTCCAACTTCAAATGCATTTCGCCCTCAAAAAACGAACCACCATTGCATTCTTCAAGTATGGCAGGGGTAGAAGTAGACTCATTAACATGGCGCAATATGGCATACAATCCCCACCCATTCACAACCACAAATACGAAATCTACAGCTCTTGCATCATCAACCATGCCGGTCCTTCTTGATCTGCTAAAACGTTATAACACTTTTCTGATGACTTCTTGTTTATTTTGACTGGCCCGTTATTTCTGTCACCGCTAACAGCGCAATCATCTAGCAACGCCCTTTCATTAAACTCCTTTTGAACAATACTACAATTTATCTGAATCATTACCTTGTTGCTTGCACTCTTTGGTTTCAAAAATTGTTACCCATAATCCATTGTCTTAGCTGCTATCATTGGGCACGATTCACGCGCACCGCGCGCAGCCCAGCTAGTCATGCTATATACTTCAAAAGCAAACTCTTAAATAATTTGAACTAATAATCTTGAAAACGTTGAACTAATAATTTGATGAAAACGTCTTAGTTGAAAAACAAAATCATGAAAACGTAAGTAACAATTCAGAAAATACAAATGCAAAACCCAAAAGTTAAACAAAAAATTACAATTAGTTAATAATTTATGGTTTCTCGATCTTCATTGTTTTGAGCTTCTTAGTAGTTGAACCTCGAGTGTGTGCACTAACTTCAATTTTACAATCAATCTCATCTTAAGAAGGTCACTTAGATCAGAGAATGATTGTTGAGTACTCCCAACATCCTCAATATCTTGGGAGATAAGTGTTTGCACTACCATAAAAATAAAAAAATACTATTCATGTTTAAAAACTTAAATGCCATCACTTATATTATGGAATCAAAATATCACATCTCCATCGTTGATTTGCATCAGGTGCATTGCACGGAAATGCAAATCGTAATTGTTGAAGTTTTTCAAATGTAGAAATATTA